CCACTTTATTTTTAGTCCAGTATATTTTTAAAAGGTTATGTGTTTGTAAGAACTACTTAATGTGAAATATTTATAGAAATTCATTATTTAGCTCCTATTATTCACATAAGAATAGAAAAATATAAATAGTTGATTTATAATTTTTAAGTTAATTCTATTTTAACATAATAACACATTTCTCATTATTAATTTCATTAATTACTTTCTGAAAGGCATCTACTGTTTAAAGCGACAAGTTAATTATAAAACGATTTTTTGTTTGTTTCGGTTTGAGTCTGTGGATTTCCGAATATCCAAAGTTAAGCTAATGTCGATAGCGCATTGTGTTTAGATGTTGTGGCATGCGTAGTTTACCTACCATCAAGTGAACTCTAAACTTGCCCTTCTCGATCATAAAAAAATGTATGTTCGCTTCTTTATTCATACGAGTATATATCACATAGAATGGCGGATTGCAATGTTTAAGCAGATAGTAATAGAAAAAAATAAATTTAAAAAAATACAAACATTATTTTGAAATTTTTGAGCAAACACCCATTACAAAATACTTACGTAAAACCCATCTGAACGGATCCATAATTGTAAAAAAAATACCTATATAAATATCCCCTTAACGATTCAGGAGTACGTTAGCAAAAGAGAGGATTGTTATGGTTTTATAATTAACTAAAGGCCCCTGAAACATAGAAAACGTTATTAGCGTAGTTTATAAACAAAATGAAAAATGTAGATTGTTTTTCATAATATGGGTCGCAGCGGTCATGTTAAACCACCAACCCCGGTTATCACCACTACTATAGTGGCGGTAGTTTTTAGACCGCACTAACCTGCAGTGTGGTGTGGAGAAGCGTGGTGGGTCTAAGCTGTTTTTCGTTTCTTATGTGAAAGAAGACTTTTGTCTAGCAGTGTTACCAAAAGTCAAAAATCATTTGTTCATGTAGGTAAGTGTACCTAGACTTATGAAAGTTTTGTGAAACTTAAGAATCTAAATTTACATTTCCTACCAGTTCTCATGGCAAGGGCGTGAACGAAGGTGAAACTGGAGAAGTACTGGCAATAAACTCGCCGCTACTCCTTTTATAGATTAAGTTTGTTTTAATTCTTTAAGTTTCTATGAAATATCAATTCGATTCGATGCGAAGATCCGAATTCGATCCGCCATCTATTAAAGACGGCGTGTTTGTTTTCGTTTGCGCCAAAGTAACCACACTGTGGTACGATCGTATGATTCAGCGTGCAATACCTGCACCTGTTTATGTAATAAATAGTTTGTAATTTTAACACGTGTATTTCAGATCTGACCATGAGTCAGCTGGCTGGAACCTTGACCCTCGGTAGACGTAAGTTATTCCTGTGCTATATCGATTTTTCATTGGCCATCGCATACTTAATTCGGTGTTTAGCACTTCCTTTAGATAACGCTCAAAACATCGTGTGCCAAGTTTTATCGAGACATCGCGACTATTAATCAAGAATTAGACTAACATCTTTCTTTATCTTTTAAGTCTTCGTTTTCATTATTACCTACAGTTTGACATTACATTTATTAAATACTCTCTACAGTTTACGCGAGTAGGACACCGTAGGACTGTAGTTAAAACAATTTTTAATTATTTTTTATTAGTTGCATTTATTTCTCATATTTTAAATTCCAGTTTACAAAACTTATTATATATACGCATTAATATAATTTACATCAACCTTATACGATTAAAAACCTTACAAGTAAAACTACAAGAGGACAGTAAAAAATAAAAATATTGATATTATAGAACTGAAATACAGTTTCCTCTACGTGGGACATGCGGCGGACACATTTGTGTGTTCCTTTAATTGATTAAATGATATGGATAAGCATATAATTATCGTATTATTAATTAAATATTGGTGCCTCAGTAGTCCTCGCACTTTGAATATCCAAAGCCAAAATAGAGCGACCTTCACCTATCATCAAGTAGACCCAAAACACTTCTTTCAACCTCAATAATTTACATATAAGTTAAGTCATACCTTTTAGTATGTATAAATTGTACTTAGAATGCTGTGTTTTGTAATTTTCTAAAAGATTAGCTTGCATTACGGATAAACGCCATTTCCCACGAAACATTGTTTTGTACTCGCGACGGGCAATGAACTCGCTTTCAAGCTTATTATGATCTAAGACATCTAAATTATTCAGCCATTGTGCAAAAGCGGTGTAATATGTTAACTCGCTTAGAGGTAATAACTTTTTCAATATCTATTGTATCTTATTCAAAATTGTTTAGTGGGTACTAAAATGAATCAGTACGTTTTTGGGCTCGGTGTCTGTAACCGGATTGTAGGTAGTACACGAACAGCTAGAGCCAGATTAATTCTGTTATTACAACAAGTAGCAACTTAAAAACAAAATATAATATTTTTTATGGGGTCTCCTACACAGAAAACGCCAATTTTGGTCGATTCTTCCTCGATATTCATAAATGTGAGAAAGAAGGCACTTGTGTGTACCCAGTAAATGGTACGGAACCCAAGGCTCGAAATCTGATTCGTACTTGTTGTTCTATAAATTCTAACAACGCGTCCACTATAAAAATACTGTTAAAAATAAACAATTTCTAACTTTGTACATTTTAACAATACACTAAAAAGAATTCCTATTAGAGATTTACTTAATTTTAAAGTTCTTTGTAAGTGAACAATAGCATGAGCTTAGCGTTAAGACGGGCACAGTGTTTTAAAAGAAACGTCTATACTAGACATTTACTATTAATATCTATGTGTATTCAGTAATATATACCATTTCAAACAGTTTTGGTATGTTTAAAAACGTAATAAAATAATGTCTATCACATTTTGACAGGTGTCTTCCTGCGCTGTTTTGTAAGGTGCCAGACATACAAAAAAAAAAGAAATCTACCTCCCATTCTTCGCGTTTGTGTCCGTTACATAAACAGACATACAGTTATGTCTGGGTATTCTGCGTATGTCTGTAACGTATTATAGAAATAATTGAACTCATTTTAAATTAAATAAAGCCGAAAATGAATTGAACATAATTTTATAGATCATGCATGGATGACTAAAAAATCTTTCCTTTTCTAAAAAATAAAGCAGTATAGGTTTATTTTTGCAATATAGGAATTTAAAGCTTCAGAAGTTAGTGAAGCGACTGCACGATTTTTCGCTCGTTATACCGACCGCTGTAAGATGATCTGTGGAGGCAGGTATAATGGATATCAGAACAAAGACACGTGGAAGTTATTTGAGAGGACATGGGTCTCTGTATAATGGAGCCCATTAGTTCACGTTTTGTTGATACAGCTTTAGCTAAGCAGACGTCGTGAGCTAAGATTCTATTATGTTCACTTAATATGGTGAAGACTAGATAAAAGAATGTTTACTTTTTCATATCACACCATCTACCAGTATTTAACTAAATTCATTCACGGATTTTCATTCAGTAAAACTTGATGTTACATTTTATCTAACTCATAAAAAAGTAATTTTTTTGTTCTGATAGGAAAGCTTCACCAAAGCATTGTTAAAACAATAATTCTCCTTAAGTTTCCGAGATATCACAATAAAAAAGAGTGTGATCAAAAACATTTCCCGTACCGGGAATCGAACCCGAGCCTCCTGGGTGAAAGCCAGGTATCCTAGCCACTAGACCATACGGGATATATCCATTGAATTGAAATATTCCTATATATAATTTTTAAGTGTATGAAACGTATCAAAATGTTGTGAGTAATTTATAGTTAAGTTCATAATGTTTACCCAAAGATAAATCCTTATAAAATTCTGAGAACAACAAAAAACACAATATAACAAGTTTGGTTTTAAGCGCCATCTCTTGAATTTTCCTAGCATCTTAATGATTTAAGGAACAATGTTTGTTTAGTTTTAGTGCTATATTCGTTAGATGAACATTTTACAAACTTCACAGAGTTCTTTAGGTGGGACCTAGATGTCACTATACTCAAAAATCTATGGACAAAGATGTTGACGCAAAAAATTCATTTTATTATACATGGCGCTTAGGCAATTCTATTTTTACGCTTATTTATATATTTTATCATTGTTATTACATATATGGATGCTACTAGTTGACTTCACTGCAGGCGTAGGAAACAGAAAGGGGATACAATAATTATTTTTTAATGATGAGACAAATTAATGCGCATCATTAAAAGGCTAGTTTTTGGCTTGACTTTAAAATAAAAACGAATTGTTATTTTTCTGTTATTTTAAAATCTGCAATTGTATTTAAATACTATGATTATTTTTCACCGCTTCAGTAATAAAAAGTCAAATAAACAAGCTTATAAAATACGAATATCTTTATTTCGTCTTTACAACAATTTCGAAAGAAGAATATTTCAACCTATATTATTACATTTATCATTATATCTTTACTGACTAGAATCACACAAGAAAGTACTTAGAAAAGCTATTCATAGAAGCAAGGATGATTTGGAAACTACATAATTTTTACAATTAGAAAACAGACATTTTTACACGTATTAAGTTTAATAATTAATACTGCTCGAAAGATGAAATATCACTACGGAAGATGAAAGAAATCTTATCTATTAGAAACAGGTACACTTGAATTTTTCCAGTTCGATAATCGATATTAGGAATATACTAATGAAATGTAGTAACTACTTTTTATTAGCGATAGGCCGATCTACATTTAAGCGATATTTTGTATCATTCATAATGATTTTTACTTCAGAATAAAAGAACAACGTCATAACAATTTTTGACTGACAGCAAACAGCAAGGTTTTGAAGTAATTTAGGAAAAATATGTAATCAATATTTAATACTTATAAAAGGTAGGTATTGTGCGATCCATTAATAAAAATAAGGACTAAATGAATTATTTATTTTACGATTTGGTACGTCAAAGTACTGAATGGTTTATTAAATTAAATAATTACGTTAAGTTTGTATGGAATCCTATAAAAATGTAAGTCCAATTTTTATAGTATGACTGGTTGCGTGTTTGTTTTCTTAATGTGCGTCGCGTCGCCTTCTGCCAGGGCCTCCTGCGTAGTTGGCAGCGGCGAGACCCATCATATGCTTTGCGTGGAGTGCGCCGGAGTACCCGCGGTTCAGGCCGAAGTCGAGAGCGCGTTTCTCACTGAAAATTAGATTATTGTTGGTTAGTGAAATGTGATTCTGTTATCCCGTCGTGAAACAGAGATAAACAAATGTGATCTTTATACTGATCTAGTTTTGGAAGGTAATTTCGTTATGTAACGCATTACGGCGTCAGTTTGGTGTTTAATTTGGGTGGTTACTTATAAATGTATTAAGTTTATAGTTATAAACCTACTTTAAAAGATATCACAATCTATATGAAGAATTCTTACGATTTATACGAAAAGCTACGTTTTCTCGAATTACTTTGCAGGGATCTATTTTATTTTTGCGTTTAATGTGGTTTAATTTATTTATATATATTAAATATATTAATTATATATATTAATTTTTATATATATATATTAATACAATAATAATATTTGCTAATTATCATTAGCAAATCATTATTAATGCATAATCTAATTGTGTATGCTTTCTCTGAGATCTTAAGCACAAGACAGGCTTAATCACTAATTCCCTGAATGATAGTGTTGAGCCTGTGCACATACGTGGCTGTTATTAGGTATTCGGAGGGCGGACCAGTATTATAGTAAGTAGCCATTTTTACTCAAATCTTATGCTTTAAAACTGTTAGTAATAGCCAGTATCAAACAAAATTGAAAGTTCCAGACTATGTATGTAGATATTCAACTTACCTAGTAATGTCTTTGTAGCTGAAAACAAAAGAAAATTAAATTAGTGACATGACACAACTTGACGGGTTCGTTGGTTATATGCTAGCAATGTATGGCTAACGATGGTCACGGGTTTGATCTCTACGAGTCCAACATGTTTTTAATTAATTTCTAATTTTGTTGGAACACGTTACTTTGTCCTTGTTTAGGAACGGTAGGGATATCAAAATTCTGGCCAGGTTCACAAACAAAAAATCATGAAGTTTAACCGCGTTTCGATTTTGATCTGTGGATTACCAAATATCTAAAGCCGAGATGGGTCGACAGCGCATTTTGATTGGTTTTTATATGGCTTGGGTATTTAATCTTTAATTTACCAGAAAAAAGAAAATAAAAATACGAGACATCAAATATGTATCTCGAGTGTAGTTAAAACTATGCACTGATTTAGCATTAATATGGCATTTAAATAGTTTATTATTTTTTACATGTTGCACATGAAGGCACTACATGATTTAAAAATCGATTACTGAGTCACTCGGTAGTTCAATTGGTAGAGCAACACTACGGAACGCTGACGATGCCGGTTCATGTCCTGCCCGAGTCGAAAATTTTTTCAATTTATTTTCGATTTTTAAATAACATAGTATGGCATTTAACTTACTAATGTAATAGTATTCTTGCATGTATTTTATTAAAACTACTATGAAAACCATATTTAACTATTGTTGTAATGTAAAAATATATATATTACTTAGCGATTTTGCCCTCTTGCTGAAGGTAACTGTCGAGGCGGTTCAGCATCTCCATGATCTCTTCGGGCTCATAAGGACCGTCATCAAGATAGTAGTTGGCGGGCCTGAAATTATTAACACGCATATTAGCACAGTCTTTACATTATAATGTAAGCAATGGTAAATTAAATAAGTGTTATAAAGCTGTTGTTATACATTTTTTTTTTTATGAAGTGGTGTCGCTGAATATATGAATACATGTCTACCCAAAGCCCATTAATTGATATACGAGAGTCAATTTTTGTGCAAGTACCTAGAGAGATAAAGATCTTATAAAATCACAACAGATTTATAATTAAAAATCATTTAATAAAAGATAAAAATTATACTTACATCCTTGGATATGCAACTGCTGGTATGGCTAGCAAAATAGCGCCGAGCAAGACGACGGCTAACAAGCAGCTAAGTCGTACCATTCTGCAAAAAAATGTCTATGCTATCATTAGGGCCTGTTCAATTGTTCCAGTCCAATAACCCTGTTACATTGCATTGGAAAAGATGGCCCGGATCACCTAAATACTTCTAGTTTTAAAATATGTCGGAAGTTGGCACTATATTGGCCGTCTACATTGGATAAAAATGTATTTGCTAATAGTTTTTTTAATGGATTTTTCACCAAATAAACTAGCAGTTAGATTCGATCGCTTGTCTGGAATAATGTTATTCGGCCATTACTGTTTGTAGCATGAAAACCTGTAGCTAGCCACAAAATACTCATAATTATAGCTCTTAGAGTAGTGTTTATTTGAACAATTAACAAATGGGTCTGCGAGACAATTGGATCAGGGGGCTTGACTTGCTGGAGGACGCTCGAACGGCTACAATTGTGCTTTGCTTGCATTCTGTTTTTCACTGGAATGAAGTACTGGTCTGTGATTTAGTATTTTTGTTATTCCTCGATTAAAACTCTGTGTTCTCTCGATGTTGTGTAACTTGTGAATGATTATAAATAATTTTCTGGCTGTCACTTTTAGTGTCTACCCAGCTGTTGCTGCAACAAATCATGTTGTTGCAGCAACAGCTGAGTGATGTCCTTCCACAGAAAAGTTAGTACAGATAATTATAATGCATTAAATATTTTGTTATATAATTGTTTAATTTCGGTATGTATATTCTTTAGTGTGGAATAAATTATTTGAATTCAATTAATCACTTCATATGCCATTCCTTTAGGAACGTTAACATATTAGCAAAGTCTATAGTATATTGGAATATTCTTACAGAGTGATATTAATTTACGTCATAAGTTTCAATAATATGACTTAGTACTAAAAAAAGACAGAGCAGTAGGCAAACGCTCAGAAGCGAAAATTTCAAATAGTTTTTAGTTAGTTATTTTAGTAGTGTGTATCACTTGTATGCACAATTTTACTACATATATTATTTGTAATATAGTTAGGGAGTTTGTTATACATTATTTGGGTATACTTTACTTTTTATAAAGCAGTCTTATAAGGCCCTTTGTTAATAATCTCGCAGTTCTCTGCGAGATGTTTAAGCAATGTTAATGGGAATTATTCAGCAATTAAAAAGCTACGCCAGCCCACACGTCTCCAAGTTTAAGTTATTAGCTTTTAAACGTAGCTTAGCTTAGGATTTAAAGATTTAACAAAATTACAAAAGTTTCGTCACAGTTGTGAAAATGTGTCAACAACGGCTTAAAGAGTTGGTTTAAGGTTAAATATAATTTACGACCCTTATGCCTATATTTAACTTAGGCCCAAAAACTCGAATTTACCTTGCCTTTGTAAGTCGCCAATTTATTTTACCGACAACTGAAAACTTTTCGTACGGTATTTAACTTGAGCGAAAAAGAAAACAATGAGACAGGCGTTAATAATTTATTACTAACTAGCATTTAAAAGCGGCTGTGTTCGCATTCTAGAAACATGGCCTAACTAAGTATGTCCACTGTCCTTATATGTATTAACAAAAGTCAAGTGTATTACTAACTTTGGTAAGTATTGAGAAAAAAGGCAATCAAGGACATATATTTTTGCATTCAAAAGATATTTTAAAATTATGAAGAAAACCGTTGGACCGGCTGAGATTCGAGCCGGTGATATGGCCTAGTCGCTAACTTTATATCAGGCACACGATCTCTCTATCAAACTTGATATGTAGTTTACACACAACAATTTTGACAGATTCAAACGTGAGCATATTTAAGTTTAAAAAACGAAACAATGTCGCAATATTTCGGATGCTTTTCAGCAGGCTTTATAAAAGTAGTAGTGAGTAAAAAGTAAGTAGTTTGCGTTTCATTGCATTTGAAATTATTTAACCTAAACAGCCAACAATAACTTACTCGTAAATCTGTGCTACTGGCGTGCAAATAGATTTTCCCAACAAACACTAATGAGCATAAATTACGCGCATCACTGCTATGTTCGCAAACGATTATCTTTTTATCACAGGTGGCCAATCATGCACAACATTGACATAACCCACTTGGTACTAATTAGCATCGCTCTGATTGGACAATCGATTTGTATGCGATCGATTATGAAAATAGTTATAAGAACATACACTCGAAATATATGTATCTAATTGTATATGTAAAAGTATCGCAATTGCAAGCGATGGGATCTTGGTTCAAATCCTGAGAAAACAAAAAGGCGTATAAATGTTGTAGGCATAAAGCCATATACACACATACTGCCTCATAGCAAACATATATATTATAAAAGTAGTGTTACGTTCTTAATATTTTTGTCACTGTTACTGTGTGTGTATATATTTTTTTACTTTGATCAATGAAAAGACTTTTTCTGAAAGAAAGATCTATTGTATAAAAATGTCTATGTATTAAGTCATAATTAGCTATTTGTATTTTTAAGTTCAAATGATGTAACGATGGGTAACTTCCACATTAAGGGTTGGCAATTCAAGCTGATTAAATGGTACTAGACTTTTGAAAACATTAATATTTTTCACATGTTATTGCACATGAAGGCACTATATAATTTAAAAATCGAAAATAAATTGAAAAAATTTTCGACTCGGGCAGGACTTGAACCGGCATCGTCAGCTTTCCGTGCTGTTGCTCTACCAATTGAGCTACCGAGTCCTACACCTCATCGTCGAATTTTTTCAACTTATTGATACATGCACCTCTCGCGCAATGTAATTTCTACCTTAACACTTGCGTATTAAGGCTCAATGTCTTATGCTTTGCAGCTTAAGAAATCATTGAAGATGAAATTACAAAGTTATAACGTTTGAAAACATTAATATTTTTCACATGTTATTGCACATGAAGGCACTATATAATTTAAAAATCGAAAATAAATTGAAAAAATTTTCGACTCGGGCAGGACTTGAACCGGCATCGTCAGCTTTCCGTGCTGTTGCTCTACCAATTGAGCTACCGAGTCCTACACCTCATCGTCGAATTTTTTCAACTTATTGATACATGCACCTCTCGCGCAATGTAATTTCTACCTTAACACTTGCGTATTAAGGCTCAATGTCTTATGCTTTGCAGCTTAAGAAATCATTGAAGATGAAATTACAAAGTTATAACGTTTGAAAACATTAATATTTTTCACATGTTATTGCACATGAAGGCACTATATAATTTAAAAATCGAAAATAAATTGAAAAAATTTTCGACTCGGGCAGGACTTGAACCGGCATCGTCAGCTTTCCGTGCTGTTGCTCTACCAATTGAGCTACCGAGTCCTACACCTCATCGTCGAATTTTTTCAACTTATTGATACATGCACCTCTCGCGCAATGTAATTTCTACCTTAACACTTGCGTATTAAGGCTCAATGTCTTATGCTTTGCAGCTTAAGAAATCATTGAAGATGAAATTACAAAGTTATAACGTTTGAAAACATTAATATTTTTCACATGTTATTGCACATGAAGGCACTATATAATTTAAAAATCGAAAATAAATTGAAAAAATTTTCGACTCGGGCAGGACTTGAACCGGCATCGTCAGCTTTCCGTGCTGTTGCTCTACCAATTGAGCTACCGAGTCCTACACCTCATCGTCGAATTTTTTCAACTTATTGATACATGCACCTCTCGCGCAATGTAATTTCTACCTTAACACTTGCGTATTAAAATTATGCGTAGTAAAAATTCGACGATGAGGTGTAGGACTCGGTAGCTCAATTGGTAGAGCAACAGCACGGAAAGCTGACGATGCCGGTTCAAGTCCTGCCCGAGTCGAAAAAAAAAATTTTTTTCAATTTATTTTCGATTTTTAAATTATATAGTGCCTTCATGTGCAATAACATGTGAAAAATATTAATGTTTTCAAACGTTATAACTTTGTAATTTCATCTTCAATGATTTCTTAAGCTGCAAAGCATAAGACATTGAGCCTTAATACGCAAGTGTTAAGGTAGAAATTACATTGCGCGAGAGGTGCATGTATCAATAAGTTGAAAAAATTCGACGATGAGGTGTAGGACTCGGTAGCTCAATTGGTAGAGCAACAGCACGGAAAGCTGACGATGCCGGTTCAAGTCCTGCCCGAGTCGAAAATTTTTTCAATTTATTTTCGATTTTTAAATTATATAGTGCCTTCATGTGCAATAACATGTGAAAAATATTAATGTTTTCAAACGTTATAACTTTGTAATTTCATCTTCAATGATTTCTTAAGCTGCAAAGCATAAGACATTGAGCCTTAATACGCAAGTGTTAAGGTAGAAATTACATTGCGCGAGAGGTGCATGTATCAATAAGTTGAAAAAATTCGACGATGAGGTGTAGGACTCGGTAGCTCAATTGGTAGAGCAACAGCACGGAAAGCTGACGATGCCGGTTCAAGTCCTGCCCGAGTCGAAAATTTTTTCAATTTATTTTCGATTTTTAAATGGTACTAGACTATTTACAGAAAACGAATATGTACGCGATATCACGATGAAGTGTCACCTTCCTATATAAATATAAAATATATATGTTTTTTTTTTAAACTGAGGTCTAAATATTTGATTGGTGAGTAACGGCATAATACACTGATAGTTTAGAGGATTAGAAAAAACAAAAAAAAATATTATGTTTCAAAGCACTATTGTTTTTATATTATTCGAGTCAAACTAAACAATACTTCTGCAGGTTTGTTATAGTGACAAAGGCCATATTATATTCTCCGACTCCTCGTCTAACAATATTAAAAATTTAAAGCGCACAAGTCGTAAAGCTGTGACACAAGAATGGATGGGATCAACCTTTCCTAGTCGTTTTACTATTCCGTTCTTTACACTGTGTTTGTGTGCAGACGTGTCTGGTGGCTGCGTTTTGAGCTTAGTTCAGGCACAATTCTACTCTAGTGCAATTTTAGATACAGCGTGTTCTAAAAGAATTGTACAGGCTAACCGATCTTTACAGTGCAGGCAAGGCACTTCTTTTTGTATATGTTTTTTAACATATGAAAAATTATGCATTGAAAAAA